ATAAAAAAACAATCACTCTCAAATTATCAAATCACTGTATAGTGAAATCATTAAATTCTCATACATGCAAACATAACAAAAAAAAAAAATCAGACCCCAAAACGTCGTTGCCTCTCCATATCAATGGCCTCAGACTTCAAGCATGATTTGAATCATGCAGTGGAAGATGTTGCTGACTTCAGTGTTGATAATGATGGGGACATGTTTGAATACGATCGCAACGAAGCATACTATCCATATGAACATGGATACCAATCACAAAATACCCTAGATTGTGCTGACTAGCCTGACTTTAATCTCAACTAAATACCATCAGAGCAACAATCATCATAGACATTGACTTTAAAAGCCCACTCAACGAAGTGATTTTGTTTAGATCAGCTTTGATTTTGAAAATAAGTAAAGGACTAAAACGTCCCCAATCCTTATAGACATTGCAACTTTAAACAGCCAGTCAGATTCAGGAGCATTCATAACAAACTTTTTTGTTTAAATCAGCTTTGATTTTGGAAATAAGTAAAGGACTCAGATGTCCGAAGCCATCATAGACATTGCAACTTTAAAAAGCCACTCAGATTCAAAAGCACTTATAACAAAAAAATTTAGTCATGGACTGACCAAGGAATGTTAAGGTATTCAAGAAAATTAGGCATTTAAAATTGATCGTCTCAGCTTATGTAAAATGACTCATCATTGTCAAAAGCATTAATACAAGTTATGTTGTTTCAACGGATGGGTTTATTTTATGATTGAAGGTAACACCAATGGATACAATGAGCCACACACCCCAACCGTTGAAATAACATAGCAGGCAACAAAGAAGCAAAATACATAGTCTCAGATAATCCAATAACATCATTGAAGGCTTATAAGGAACCTAATTAACTTTGGTGCCTATTTGTTCAACTAAAATAAACTATCAGCATTCACTTTTGTATTATTTTGTACTAAAGGCACCTGATGCTTAAACTAGGTAAACCAAACAACAAACACAAACACTAATGGGTCCAAAAGCCTTCTAAGAACATAGGTTTCATCATTGACTGACAAAAATTCAACCATATTATCCATATGAGATCAGGGTTGATTTTGAAAATAAGTAAAGGACTCAGATGTCCGAAGCCATCATAGACATTGCAACTTTAAAAAGCCACTTAGATTCAAGAGCACTCATAACAAAAGAAAATTTAGTCATGGACTGACTAGGAATGTTAAGGTATTCAACAAAATTAGGCATTTAAATTTGATTGTCTCAGCTTATGTAAAAGGACTTATCATTGTCAAAACGTTTAATACAAGTTATGTTGTTTCAACCGATGGGTTGTATGATTGAAGGTAACACCAATGGATACAATGAGCCATACACCCCAACTATTGAAACAACATAGCAGGCAACAAAGAAGCAGAATACATTGGCAACAAAGAAGCAGAATACATAGTATCAGATAATCCAATAACATCATTGAAGGCTTATAAGGAACCCAATTAACTTTGGTACCTGTTTGTTCAACTAAAATAAACTATCAGCAATCACTTTTGTACTACTTTGTACTAAAGACACTTGATGGTTAAACTAGGTACACCAAACATCAAACACAAACACTAATGGGTCCTAGAGCCTTCTCAGAACACAGGTTTTCATCATTGATTAACAAAAATTCAACCAAAAAATCACTTACTCAACCAAACCGCATCATATCCAACAATTTAAAAGGGAAGTGAATTCATAATAAATCCCTGTTAACGGGTAAACAAAGATTGCTCAACACAAAAATCAAAGCCATCATAAACAAGATCATCACCAAAAACAACCAAAGATAGAGAGAGGGGGTGAAGAATAAGAACACGATACCTAGCACCTACGAATTGCAGTAATTCACGAAATTAATTTAGGGCTTTGCTTCTAATCACCAATCACAGCAGATATCCGTAATTTTTTCCACAAAAATCAACCAAAAAATGACCAATTTGATGAAAGAGAAGTGAAGAAACTAGGGTTCTCGTGAATAACACCAAGAGAAGTGAGGAGAAAGAAGTCACTAGTTGAAAACACTACTAGAAAAAGGTCAATTTTCGACGGACACGAAAATACGTTGGAAAAAAACGAAATTTCTGATGGATTTAAATTCCGTCAGAAATTTCCGACGAATTTAAATTTCCCGTCAGAAATTTTCGACGGATTTTCCATCGAAAAATAATTAATTTCCGACGGATTTCAAATCTATCGGAAATTTCCGACGGAATTTAAACCCTTTCCGACAGAATTATGATTTTTTTAAAAAAAAATTAAAAAAAAAAAAAAAACAAACCGGTTTCCGCCTCTTTTCTTTCCTTTCCCGTTTCTCTTTTTCTATCCCTTTCCCTTCTCCTTTTCTCTACCATTCTCCTTCTCTCTCCTCTTCTTCTTCTGGTTCTCGTTCTCGTTCTCGTTCTCTCTCCTCTTCTTCTCCTTTTCTTCTTCTGGTTCTCGTTATCTCTCCTATTCTCTTTCCTCATCTTCTTCTTCTGGTTCTCCTTCTCTCTCCTCTTCTCTTTCTTCTTCTTCTCCTCGTTCTCTTTCCTCTTGTACAAAAACCACCTACCGCCAGCCACTACCACCACCAACACTAGCCACTGCCGCAACATGACAAGGGTTAAATCGGTCGCTACAATCTAACTCTCAATCAAACAATACTTATACGAACACCCAATAACCAAGTACAATGGCAAATAAAGGTTCGGTCCACGAGGAACGAGAGTAATTGCAAATCAATCTTAAACCTAAGCTAGTTCGAAATCAATGGAAAATGGTGTTCTAAAATACTACTAATAAGATGGAATAAATCAATAAACTAAGACACTAGGGAGAACGGGAATTCACCAAACCATCGGTAACTACGCAACAAGGAATTATAGAGACAAATGGGATATGCAAAGACTATATGTCTGATCAATATCGTGCGATAGGAAGACAACGGGCAATACTAAGATTGGATTTCTCATGCACTTAACATTACTCGATACATAATCAAACCACATTCAACAATGAAATACTCAATTCACAATCTCTTGTTCAAATCAAGAATATCATGCAATCAAATTCAAGATTCTAGGTTAGCTACTCCTATTATAATGAATTAACATGCAATAGCATATAATCAATTTAATCACAATCCGTTTATCAAAATCAACCCTCAATTACATAGATTACCTAGGCCGGGTTTCATCCCGAAACCCTAGCTAGGAGACTACTCACACATATTCATAATCAAAGTAATAATGAATTCCAAAAGCATAATAGATATAAACATGAATTCTGATTAAGGAATAATAAAGCTTGATTAATAAACAAGAATGAATAATACCAATTGTATTGATGCGAATCAATGACAAAGTTTGGAACTTTGATATCCTATGTCAATGAATAATACAAAGAATCCCAACGAATTTTGCTTCGAATCAATCCGGAAAACTACGATTAACTAGATCAAATCTATGGAATCTCAACTACGGAAGTGCTCTCTACCTCTCTACAAAAGCTCACAAAAACTATCTCTAAAACTGTCTAAAAACGCCCCTTAAAGTCGGGCCTTATATACGTCTTCTAATTCGGAGAAGTCAAGCGCGCAGTCAACCCTGGATCAGCACGGCCGTGCTATATTTGGCACGGCCGTGCTAGCTTGTCAGTAGCTAAACCGGATTTCTTCTTCAATTTGGCACGGCCATGCTATATTTGGCACGGCCGTGCAGCTGCCTGGCACGACCGTGCTGAATATGCTCTAGCACGGGGCTCATACTGAAGATGACACGGGCACGGGCAACATCTGGCACGGCCGTGCTAATGGCCTGCACGGCCGTGCTGGTGCCTGGATACTGACACGACCGTGCTATTGGCTTGCACGGTCGTGCTGCCTTGCCTAGGGCTGCTTGCTCATAGGCCAGCACGGGTGTGCCTATGGTAACACGGCTGTGCTGCCTGTGCTATGTAATCAATGCACGACACTTGAACTTCCTTAACTCCTCGGACTTCGGTCAAGGCTAGCTCGGTTACGCATCAAGGGCTCGGGATCCGACTAAACTCGGTTGATATTACTTGAAAACACATCAAAAACAAACCGAAATCCTGTGAAGCACGTAATATAGGGGACATAAGCATAATAAGGTAATAATCGGCCAGAACGGCCCCAAATACATCCAAAATCATCCTAATATTATGCTCTAAAGCGCGCCCTAAAGTGCGCTTGTCACAACAACAACACCAACATCGACATGAACAACAACACCAACACATACATCTTCATCAACGGCGCAAAACGAAGGTTTTAGGTGAAATTCCACCATGAAAACTCTAGATCTAGAGTTTTCATGGTCGAATTTGGTCTCATAAACCCAATTCCGAGGTTTTGGAGGTGGAATTGAAGGTATGTATTCGTTTTCTTTCTATTAATTTAGTTTTTTTTTTTTTTGGTGCTGGTTGAATTGTGGTTGTGGTGGTGGGGATCTGGGTAAACTAACTGGTTTTGTGGTGGTTTTCGTAGTGGGTGTGGTGATAGGTGGTGGGTAGATTGGGAAATGGCGGTTTTGGTTGGTTTCGGTGGGGAATGGTGGTTTTGGTGGGGAATGGTGGTTTTGGGTGGTTTCGGTGGTGGTTTGGGTGGGTGGGGAAACGGGGTTTTCCGACTGAATTCAGGGTGATTCTGATGAAATTTTTCCGTCGGAAATGACCTGTTTTCAAGTAGTGAAAAATGCTATTTGTAACGCCGTATTAGTAATTGACATAAATTATATTAGTTACTACAAGAGTATTAGTAATTGACATAGCTATTGCTGGTTACAAATAAATTATCATTAGTAACTGGCATTACCAAGGTAAGTTACAAAAAGCAGGTTAAAAATAGGCTGACCAGCTATTAGTAACAGGCATGAAAAAGGCCAGTTACAAATAGCAAGTCAAACTTTGTTGACTTTATTAATTGTAACGAGCTTAATCAATGTCAGTTACTAATGGTAGCACACACAAGTACACAACTCTCACTTTACTCTATTTTTTTTTTCGTTTTTAAAAAAAAGAAATACTCGAATAGTCGTATTCTTCCACCTATCTCATCAAACTTAATCAGCCCATTTATTCACAAACCACCCTCAATTTTTCATTCTCCGCTGACCTCAATTTTTCATACTCCGCTGAAATCCTCTGAAGCTCCTTCTAAATTCAATCATCGAAAAATATCATCAAGGTACGCTCTCAATCTCTACCTATTTAATTTTTTTTATTATTATTATTATTATTATTATTGTAACCGATTGTCTAAAAAAAAACTAAAAACATGATTTCTAAGGTTTCTAGTTTTTTTTGTTAACTTAATTTAATGAAAGTTAGGGGTTTAATTACTTGAATTACTAGTTGCAAAGTCAGGTTTAATTTCATAGTAACCTGGGGTTAACGAACATTATCCTTTAGAGAAGTCGGCTGGCGAGAGATTCGAGCGCAAGAGCGCAAGTGAGTACCGCACATTCATTCTTGTTTAATATGGCTTTATTAATGGTGGTACAAGTTCTTCTATTTTGTTCTGATGTAGTGATTTAGCACTCAATAGAAAATGCTGATGAATGAATTTGTTGAGAATGGGGACCCTATGCCGGTAAAAAATGTAACACCACTAAGAATGGGTTCGATCAGTAGATGGTGGTGGTAAATTAAGGGGTTTCATGTCACAGAATTTGACAATTGCTCAAGATTTAATTCACTTATTATTACTGGCTAAAGAAACAGTTTTGCCAATTATAATTAGATGGGTGATATAGTTTAAAAATTTACTTATATTAATGTGCCTAATCGATATGATATGAAATAGAATACTATACTCTCAGTTCATAACATAATAATATTGATATAATATCTTTCTCTTGCCTTGTTTGTTGTCTCTCCTCTCCCTTGTCCCTCCATTTCTTCCTTTCCTTTTCAATTTGTGTAACTCAACTGCATTTTCCCGTCTCATCCTAATTTGTATAAATATAGTCCTCTAGTCTTTATCAATAAAGTATACATTCACTACAATGTTTCCCATCTGCTACACGGTAAGCTTGTCATTTGCATTGATTGAAACCAAACCTACGAAATCTCACTAATATTTGAAGCTACACTCTTATGACTTACAAGACCCCACTAGTCAATGTTTTTAAAATCTATTTTTTTGTAAAATACTCTTTAGTTGCATTTGTCTTAAGATCATATTAAAATACTCAATATATATTAGGACTTAGGAGTGCTAAATTAGGAACTGGAATGAAGGCTTCATGTGAGTCTTATTAGGCATATGTCACTGTCTTTGAACTTTTATGAATGAAGGTTCGTTTTCACTCATTCATTTTAATGCTGGAGCACCTTACTTGAGTTATGAAAGAGGTTCATTATACAATTTGTATCCCCTACACTAGTGATTCAATGTGTGGGAAATCTGAATCTCTGAAATATCATGATAAGTTACAACTTATTAGTAGTAATTTTAGTCTTTATATCCGAAATAATATTGAAAGTAACTTGCCTATAGTTACCAAATTTCTACTGTATTTGTTATGAGTGCACTACAATTGTTCTCATATTTTATCCTTGATATCATACTTTTCAAATGAAGAAAGCTAAGTAAGATTACTTATCTTGAACTACAGGTGAATAAGGCCGAGGAATCAAATTTATGTTTATGTAGGATCCTTGTATAAGAATGAAATTAACTTATGCTAGTGTTGGCATGCAATGTTGGCAACATTGCCTAGATGTTCATGCTGAACAAGATACATTGTCAAACTAAGTCTGCAATTTACCTTTTTTTTGTCTCTGTATCCCAAATCCCAATTTGAGAATCAAATTTCAATATTGGATTTTAAATTATTATTATCCAAGTGATAAACAAATTTTACCTACAGTCGATGTAGTGGGATATTGACTTGAATGTTACGGAGAAGAGGTTGGTTTATTTATACTGCTTCTTTTGTCACCTTAAAGGTCATCTGCTGATGAGGAGGCAAGCATGCATGTATCCTAGTGAATCTACTAGCTCTTAGGACTCACATACAGGGTAACTATTAAGCATTCTCTTAATTTTTTAAAATCTCTTTTCAGCTAACAAATATGAAGTATATAATAACCAGGGGCGGATACAACTCACACAATGGGTATGCAAGTGCATAGCCCTAAGTATTTAATTAAAATTTTATGAAGCAAACTGTAGGTAAAGAAATGAGAGTTGATCAGCAGGTAATTTGATGCTTCCTTGGAGTTGTAGTTGGTTATTTCGATTATTGTTCGAATCTTGATAAACCCACGTTTCACCACTTTCCAATATTTTTTTACTTTATGATTTTCCCCCTTTTTGAGATCATTAGTCATATTTTCCAATAGATGTTATTTTCTTTAATATATTCTTAACCCATCTTTAGATTAATTGAAATTTAGTGGTCATGAATAAAAGACATTGCTTAATTAGCCTAATGGAAAATGGGTTTGGCTATTTAGATTAATAACTTGTGGACTTGACAAGTATCTACTACTGCTAGCATGCTAGATCAAGTTTTTTGTTGGCATTATTGTTTATTTGTAAGATCTATGCAAGATTGATACATATTCGCATAATCATCAGTAGCACAATGAACTACATGGTTTGATTGGTTTCAACTTCCGACATATTTATAAATTTCATGTCTTAGCTGACAAATGACTAAACAATATACCTGTAAAAACTGTAAAGTTTCATTTAAAGGAGGATGGGGAGATTGGGATATCTCTCATGGTTATAATGATTTCCTATGTCTCATATACATACACTTCTACATGGGTGATTTTGGTGGTGGATCAATGCTCATTGGTTTGCATATATGGCCACTCTGTTAATAATTTTTGTGAAACTTCTTTAGTAATTGACATTATTGTGTTTAAGGTCTTGAAGATCCTAGATGGCCTAGCAACAAATGTAGTTTCTCACGCATATTGGGAGGGCCAAGAGGACTACGAGTTACTACGAGGAGCATGGACTGTGAGTTACTACAGAATGTGCTTATAATGTAATCAGATATGTGTACGATATAGTCTCTTTCCATGCATAAAGAATGCAAGGGTAATTTGTGAAAGGTTAGTGAATTTGCCACTTCTTTGCAATTTAAGTAAAGAAGGTATATACACATATTTTGGTTAATCAATGTTAGTTTTGTTCTAAAAAATTGTAATAATATATGTGTATATTATTTTTGAAGGAGTATTTGACAAGAGATGCAGCCTACAATGATGTAGAATCGCCCAAGGTTCAGAAACAATAATTGGCTAAGTTTTTTAGATTAAATTTGTTATCGTAAGACTAAATCTTTGTTGATATTGTAATTAATTGCATTTACTTAGCTCATTAAAACAATATGAGTATGACATTTCTTATTTCTATCTAGTCTCGTTTATATTTATTCCTGTTTATTATTATTACTTTCTAAATTTATAAGCAAATTCTTTTTTTATAATGTTCCAGATCTAACCTGACAACCCGTATCCAGGATCTGTGAAGACCTTATTGTCCAGCTAAGTACCTACATAGGAAATAAGGATTAGCTAACCCCGGGTTGGCTTCGGGGATAACCACTCTGATGGTAAAGTCAGAAAGTATTTTAGAAAAAGAAGAGAAAGTATTAAGGAAGAGAATAAGAGAGAGAGAGAGAGAGAGAGAGAGAGAGAGAGAGAGAAAGAGAGAGTGAGAGAGAGCATTTATTGTTACCTTTGTTTAAAGAGTTGGATTGGTTATTTATAGTAGAATGTTCTCCCAAGTGGCTGCATGCCATGCAAACAATGTACATGCCAAGTGTTGGTTATCCCACGCCACGTGGTGTGCGCAGATTAACCATGGCCCTTACAGTTATGAGTGAATACCGATATGAGCATTCTGTTGTACGGTTGTAACCCGACCTATTTCCAAAAGAGTTAATATCGGCCCATGTCCCTTATCGGTATCATCCCATACAACTAACCCCCCAAGTGAGGACGTCTATACAACTGATGTTCTCACTTATTCACAAGTTGTCCTTAGCAGGGAATTTTGATTAGAATTCCTTCATTTCTTCCTTAGGAGACTGAGTTCTCATTTGATTTCAATCATTTCTACTTTTAGGAGACCAAGTCCGCTTTTGAATTCATTCATTTCAACCTTTGGGGACTTAGTTTTGATTGGAACCAAAGTATTTCAATATTAGTGATTTTCTCTACTTTATTTCCAGGGTGGGAGCAAAAAATCTTCGATTTGCTCCCCAAGTGAGCTTGTATGCTGATAGCAAATAAGCTCTACTTTATACTTAGGTTGGGAGCAAAAAACGTCTGACTTGCTCGAGCGGAATACTAAACGTTATAAATTTTTTTCTTATTTCCTTTTCTTTTCTTTATTTTTTTTAAGGCGGGAAGTTTGACTAGTCAAGGGACACGTGTCGTAGATTCGGCCAAATAGTTTTGAATTTACAAAATTTCTCGACCCTTGGATTTCTGACCGACCCATCACATCACCCGTCTTCTTTTAAATCTATAAAAACTATATTTCCTTCCCCTTTTTCCTTTTCATGTTCCTTAAAAACCTCTCGAAATCACACTTAAGCGAATTCGAAGCGTTTCTATGTAAGCTTAACAACGACTATCAAGCGTTCTCAAGTGCAGCGGGATTGGAGTTCGGCACTTTTTCTACTTTTAAGGGCGTTTTTTGATAGAAAATTCGAAGGTATTCACGAACCTTAACTTTAATTTTTCATGTTTTGATTTTTACGATTTTAGCGTAGTTGGCATTCATAAATGTCTGATTGTAGTTTTGAAGAGGAACAAACCACCCTTAGTATTGTTAGGCGTCGCCTTATTAGGCAATCTGTGGGTAAAGATATCAGTAAAGTTCAAGACACAACGTCGTCTCTTTCTGATAACATTGACGATCCGTTTTAGCCGCTAACTGCTAAAGAACAAAAGCAAGCCTCTTACCGTCATAAGGTTATAGCTGATTGTGAAAGATCTTGCCGACCTAACAATCCTGATTTACCCGACGACATTGAGGTCCTTGACGTCGAGCTAGTTAGCGTCCGATATCACCTACGCAGCTTCGCAGATAAGCTAAACCTTGATCAATACGGCTCTAACATTAGTCATATCGGGGTTAGAACCACCACGATGCCAAGGGTTAAACAGACTAGTTACCAGCCACATGTTGCCCTTAACGCTTCTCCTGATAAAGCTGAACCTAGGAAAAGGCCCGGTAAAGCACAGGTGGTCAGTTCTGATGAGTCAGAATCTGAAGATCGTGAGGTAAGCCAAAATGGCGACAGGCGGTCCAAATCTCCTGTGCATGAATCTGTCGTCAACTCCGTTCTCGGCGATGAGGAAGATGGCGGTGAGGAGGTAAACCAAAACGAAGGCAGGAATGTTGGGAAGGAGGAAGATATTATGGATTTGTTGTCGCAAGTTACAAAAGAGGAAGGCCTAGATGAAGTCTATAACTCCGAGGAGGACGATGCGGAGTACCGACATCCTATTAATATTGATTCTAACAGGATATGAATTGAATTGACCTTGATGGTCAGGAGGACGATGCAATAATATGGATATGAATTGACCTTGATGGTCAGTAACGATTCTATCGGCTTCCTGATGGATATGAATTGACGATGCGCAAGTCATGATGGTCATGTTGCCATTTACGCCAAGCATCTTGATTTCGGCCTCCGCTTCCCTATTCATCATTTTATTGTCAAGATTCTGCGAGAACCTTTGTCTTGTACAACTCACCCCGCTGACTATTCAGAACGTAGTAGCAGTTGTTTGGGTTATGCTATACAAGAATTTTCCTTTAACCCTCAACTTGTTCAGGAGACTTCATTGGCTAAAGCGGGATGGCCAATCTGAAGGATGGTGGTCAATTTACACAGCTTCTCACAAGTATACCGTCCACCGCAAGCTATCCAGTTGCGAAGGCTGGCAAGAAAAGTTTTTATTTATGCGTGTTCCAGACGACTTCCCAATTAGAAGGACTTTCTACCGTCCTCACTCGCGTTTTGATTCGATTGACGGGAGAGGTCTTGGAGTTCAAGAACGCAGAGCCTGTGATTATTTTGGCATAGAAGAGATTGAACTTGACGAGGATACTGTACAGATAGTCCCTAGGGTGTGGCTGCTGAATGTGAAATATATTCTCAGCAACGCTCCTTTGTCTCATATCGGTCTCTGTACTACTGGTAGTTTTGGTATTGCTCTTGTGTTTTGCATATATGTTACTAATATTTTATTTCTTATCTCTGATGTCGGAGAACCCCTTACTGCCTATCGGTTTGTATCCTGCTATGTTTATTCTTACCTAGTATGACTTATTTGGTGCATGCGTTGACAAACTAGATTGGAAAGTCCTAGGGCTATCAGTTGACGAAAAAAGAGTTTTGAAATGCTGCCCTTCTTCTCCCAAGCCTGCTTACGATACACTTGCTACCTATTGCAACCGATCTTCTTCGCAATCACGAAATTCGAAGAGAAAAGCTGAGAGAACGACAGACGACAACGCCAGAAAAAGCTCTAGACGCATTGTTTCACTTGCTAACAGACGTGGTGGAATGAGTGGAGCCTCTGGTTCAAGGAAAGAAGATGAGCAGGTCGCTAAGAGAGCGAAGACGAGTGAGGAGCAGTAGAAACAACAAGCTCCTCAGCACAAGGATCAAGACCCTCAGCAGCAAACCCAGCCACAACAACATGTACCACCTGAACTTCCTCTCCAGCCATCAAAGAAATCTGTGCCGGAAGGGGTTTTAGTGGAAGATATTGTAGATTCTCCACTTCTCATTCAGCCTACAACAACAGTTCACCCTGCGCCTTAAGCTAAGGCTCATACTGGCTCTGATGTGAGCACACTCGGTATTGTAAACCAGGCAAACCAGTGGATAGAGCAGCCATTCGGTAAGATTCCTGACGAGGTGGTAAAGAGGTTCACCGTTCCTGACGGCAGTTCCCGGGACCGATGGCAACCAGAGCTGGATGTATGCCGCAATGAATCTATCTTTACCGACGACCCACTTCAGGGCGGTAACTTGGGATAACGGTTGCTTCGTAATCTGGCAACTCCTATTGATAGGCCCGCTGGCCTTGTCGGCCTAGTTGCTTCACAACATATGCATGATTTAATGAAGGTATCATATCAGACTAGCATGATTGTATTTCTAGCTAACCTTTATTATTATTATTATTATTATTATTATTTTTTTTTTTTTTTTTTTTTACTTTACTTCTTTCTAACGTGCTTGGTTATTGCGTTGATCACGTAGGCCATTGCCTCCGGCACCGAGCTTGTCGAGATGTATCGGTGTTATCAAGAGCAACACTATCAGGCTTTGCTGAACCAGTAAACCATAGAAACGGCTGTGAAGAATGCATAGAAGGCCCTTGACGGCATTAGAGCGGTGAAAAAGAAGGATGACGAGGAGCTAAAAGCTCTTAGGGAGAAGGCCGACAAGTTCAAAGCTGCTGAAGATGAGATTAAATCCCTCTATTAACAATTGGAAGAAAAATCCAAGGTTGCTGCTCGGCTGCCGGTGGTTCAAAAGGAACTCGATGATGTCAAGGGTACTGCCGGCCTTTTAGAGGAGAAAGTCCAAAAAATGGAGGCTAACAAACCTGGCATCCGGCAGAGAGCTGTCAGTCGGTACCTGAGGTGTGATGACTTCATAGAAAGACTTTAAAACCGTTACGACGGTGGGTGGATTGCAGCTCAACGGTGTGTTGTTAAGGTTACTAGTTGGACGAAACCTGATTGGGCGAAGGTCGAGGCAGCCTTCAACAACAAGGCTCATGAGCATGCTACTAGTTTTGAGCAACAACAATTTTCTGATGAGGTTCTCTTCAATGCTGATCCTAGTGAAGATGACACTTTAGTGGACCCCAACCTTCTGAACTCTCCCATACTTGAGGGAACGCAAGAACCTCAAGCTTGAAGGGGCGGGCAGTCATCACCGATATCATCATGCGGCTCATGTGTACTTGGGCCTTATCAACATTGATGTTTTTGAATTTTTTGTTTAGCGTAAAACTCTTTTTCTTTTGCTTGTGCTGTTTATCGGCATGTACCCTTTTTGTGGTGATGCCTTTCGAATGTATATTGTTACTTTAATTATCACTTTTCTACTTTGATCATGGTTACTGTCATCATTATATACATCTTAAAAATGATGACGTCTTAAAAATGACGCTTATATAACAAGAATGTTTCATGTTTGACCATGTAAACTATCTGCTCCCCCCTTAGTGAGTGTACCTGCATAGCTGGTGCATTCACTAAAGAATCGAGATTATATACAATACGCATTTTCATTTCCGTTTTCTTCTTTCGAATATACATATAATATGCATTTCCATTTTCGTTATCTTCTTTCGAATTTGCATATAATATGCATTTCCATTTCCGGTTTCTTCTTTCGAATTTACGTAAAATATGCATTTCCATTTCCGTTTTCAGCTTCGTGTTCAGTAATCTGTCTTAGCTATTTTAGAGTATTATATATGCTGTTTATAGGCCTTTTGTATACGAATTATATATTGTCGGTTCAAACTATTACACTGGCCATTTGAGTAGTGCTTGTTTGCACCTACTGAAATGCCTCTTTCGGCTATCTTTTATCATGGGTAAGCCTCATGCCGGCCAGTATTATACTTTGAATTTACAACCTCACAAAGAGTAGATGTTCACAGTTGATCAGACCCTCATTTTACTACTTTTGAGGGAGTGGTATTTAGCTGTCCATCCATTTGATTATGTAACCAAATGGAGTATGCCTAACAACATGTATCTATCAGACCAGGTACCTTTTATTTCATTATTGGTACTATCTGAGAAAGATAGTTAAAAAACGTACATGATACATTATATTATCGGAACTATTTGTATATTTAAACATTTAAACATAAAATTTTTTAAGCACCGCTGCATTCCACACATTCTTCAAAGGCTTCCCTTCCATGGTTTCCAACCGGTACGACCCTTGCTTGAGTGTGTCATTGATTTTATATGGTCCTTCCCAATTTTCCGTTAACTTGCCGTCAGCGCTTCCCTTTCCTGTTGCTGCTGCTCTCCGCAAAACCAAATCTCCAGTAATCATAGGACGGTGATTGACCCTTTTATTATAAGCCCTTGACATTCTGTCTTTGTACGCTGCCGACTTAACTGCAGCTTTCTCTCGGAGCTCAGGTAAGAAATCTAACTATTGAAGTAGTAGTAGATCGTTTTGCTCTTCACAATAGTGCTAGATTCTGAACGTTGGTAGTCCTACCTCAGTCGGTATCACTGCTTCAGTGCCAAACACCAAATTGAAGGGCGACTCCCCAGTCGCTTTTTTTGTAGAGGTTCGATTTGCCTATAAGATCTCAGGAATAAGATCAGCCCATAGCTCCTTTGTGTCTCCAATCTTCTTTTTTAGGGCCGATAAAATTTGCTTGTTGGCTGCCTTAGCCTGGTCGTTTGACTGTGGATGGCATACTGCTGCATACGCGAACTTGACTTTGTACATGGCCAAAAGGTCTTTCACCGTCTTACAATCAAACTGCGACCCATGATAAAAAAAACCATTGCCATCAGTAACCCAAATCTGGTGAAGATGTTTTTCCATATGAACTTTTTTATCTCTAACGCCAATATTTTCGCTCCTGGTTATGAGATTATCCATTTAAGAAGTAGTCTACACCTACTATCAAGAACTTCCTGCTGCCAGTGGCCGATGGGAACTGTCCTACGATATCCATTCCCCATTGTGCAAACAAGACTGGGTTCATTATCGGTGTTAAGTCATTTGGAGGAAGATTAATGACCGGCGCATACTTTAACATTTTTCACATCGTTTCATATACTCCAAATCATCCTCATTCATTGTCGGCCAATAATACCCTCGCTTCATTGTTCCCAACGACAAGGCTTTTCCACCGATATGGTTCCCACAGGTTCCCTCGTGTATTTCCTCAATGAGTCTTGTTGATTCAAAGTTGGTTATACATATCTCAAGAGGCAATGAGAAACCCCTTTTTTTAAATTGTCCCTGGTGTATAACGAACCACACGCTATCTCGTTTTAGTTTTCGCGACTCAGCCTTATCAGTCGGCAAGGTACCATACAATATCTACCCCAGAATTTTTTCGTACCACTAACTGTTGTTATCAACACAAAGAACCTGTTCTGAATCCTCGTCAATACTTTTTTGCTTCAATACCTCGACCATAACTGTTCTCTCTAGGTCGTTAAAACTGGAGCTAGCCAATCTTGCCAGAGCATCAGCTTGGGAGTTTTGCACTCTTAGAACCAAGGTAATTTCAAAGTGCTCCAGTTGTGCCGTTAATTGCCTAAGTTTCTCAAGGTACTTTACCATTGCTGGCTCCCGCGACTCGTATTCACCAGTACATTAACTTGAAACCAACTGTGAATCTGTTGTCTAGACTAAGCGCTTGGCATTTGCTGCTAAAGACAACTAGACCCTTGTTATCGCCACCTCATACTCTACTTCATTATTTGAAGCTTTAAATTTGAATTTCAATGCATACTCAAAGACATCCCCCTATGGCGATGATATCACTATCCCGGCCCCTGATCCGGTCACAATAGCAGATCCATCCACCAAGACTTTCCATGTTCCGACCTACTCTTCCTTGTCATTGTAAGAAGCTTCTATAATGAAGTCATATAGTGCCTGCGCCTTGATGGACACTTTGGGCTTATAAACCAACTCATATTTCGACAACTCGATTGCCCATTTCAACAATCAACCCGACGTATCCGTCTTCTGCAAAGATTTCTCTAACGACTAGTTAGTCAATACCTTTATCACATGAGCATCAAAATATGTACAGAGCTTCCGCGCTGCTATTACAACAGTGTATGCCATCTTCTCAATTACTGGCGCTTCGCCGCATTCAGAACATGACCGACAAAGTATATCGGCATTTTCTGTTTCTTTCTTTCTACCAATAATACGGCTGCCACCGTCTCCGAAGAAGCCGATATGTATAACTGTAACTGTTCCCCATGTTTTGGTCTTGCTACTGTCGGCAATGACCTCAAATGATTTCTAACCACTTCTAAGGCTTCGGTCTGATCCTTTCCCCATTCAAAAGTTTTATTTTGTCGTAAGACCACAAAAAATGGGAGCGCCTTATCAGCAAATTTACTGATGAATCGTGTTAAGGCTGCCATTCGGCCTGTTAGCCTTTGTATGTCACGTATTGTATTCAATTGATTCATACCAAGTATTGCATTATCCTTATCTGGATTTGCATAAATTCCAAGCTCACTAACCATAAACCCTAAAAACATGCCTGAGCGAACTTTAAACACATACTTTTCTGGGTTTAACTTCATCTGGTACTGTCGCAAGGTGTCAAAGGTTTCCCTAAGGTCAGCAATGTGATCCTCGTCTAGATGACTTTTCACAATCGTGTCATCCACATACACCTCTACATTTTTCCCTTTTTGTTTCTCAAAGATCTTATCGACCAGCTTTTGATAAGTTGCACCAGCGTTCTTTAACCCAAACGACATGGCCTTATAGCAGTAAACTCCTGCGTCCGTTATGAACGCAGCTTTAGCCTTGTCTAACTCATGAAGGCTAACCTGGTGATATCCCGAGAAGGCATCTAGGAAACTGAGCGTTGCATATCCGGACATCGAATCCACCAATTTGTCTATCCGTGGCAACGGATAACAGTCTTTAGGGCATGCCTTATTCAAATCTGTAAAGTCGACGCACATTTGCCACTTTTCTGTTGGCTTTATCACCATATCTACATTCGCCAACCATTCGAGATACGTGCAAGGCTCGATGAACCCTGCCGCCAAGAGCTTTTTAACCTCAGCCTGTATTGCCTCAATCTTTTCTGTCGAGAAGTTTCTCTTCTTTTGCCTTACTGACCTGGACTTTCTGTAAATATTCACCCTATATACCATGACATCAGGGTGTATTCCGAGCATCTCATCCACCGAGAAAGCGAACACATCTGCGTTTTCTCGCAACAAACTAATCAAGTTACATCTCATGTAAGCATCTATATTTGACCCCACTTTCACTGTTCGACCTTGAACTCCCGGCTGGAGCTCGACATGCACTGTTTCTCCCCTCGGGGTCGATTTGGGAACTGATAGCGACCTTGTGTCAAAGTTCTCCATTAACAGAACATGCACTGACGGCTCTCTGTCCCTTTTCGGATTACTCAAAGTAGGTACCTCTCGGGTGGATTGTTTTAATATAGTTACATAACAGGATTTTGCCATTTCCTGCCCTCCAAGCACCTTCTCCACACGCCTTGAGTTTGATACATAGGCCATTGTCAGGTGGTATGTCGACACTACAACCTGTGTGACATGAATGAGCGGTCTGCCGATAATCGCGTTATATGCTGACGACACATCCACTGCTATGAATTCGGCCATTGTGTCTCTTACTGCTGGTCCTTCACTAAACCAAACTGGTAAGACGATACTGCCCTCTGGTCTTACAGTTGAACCATTAAACCCAACCATATGATATGAAACCCGCGTCAAGTACTGCCTTCCTATCATCATTGCATCAAATGCCTTCATGAATAGAATATTTGTCGAACTTCCTCCTTTAACTAGAACCCGTTTAATCTCTGCTCCATTTATCATAAGCATTAACACCAAAGGATCGTCATGAGGAAAGACAATTCCCTTTGCGTCTTCTTTTGAGAAAGTGACATTGGGGATGTCGGAGAGTCAAGGACGGCTTTCGACATCCAGCGTGTTCACTATATGCCGATGTTCTGACAGGCTCTTTCTCGCACCGCTAATCATCCCCCCATGAACCGGCCTACCGGTAATCACATCAACCACTATGTTCCTTCCAAATGATGACGGCGGTTATCTTCCATCCCCCTGTCGGTTTACTCCGACCTGTTGCTTGTTATTTCTTACTTCCGTTGCCGGTATTCTATCTGACGGGGAGCTGTCGGTTGCTGACTTCTCTCCGAATGCAAATGACATTGAGTTAAATGCTCTTTTCTCATCAGCTCTTCTATGTTATCCTTCAACTACGTGCAATCTTCGGTGTAATGGCCGACATAACGATGAAACATGCAATACTTCTCATATCTTTGCCCTTTGCCTTCATCGGTGCCGGTCTTACCCTATCTTCTCTATTCTGATTCACTGAATCAATGGCGGCCCTTGGTGTATTCAATGGGGTGAAAGTGCTATACTGTGCTGATGCCCTTGCAC